CCCCAAAACCCCAAAACCCCAAAACCCCAAAACCCCTTAATGAAGAATAAAAATTGAAAATATCATTAAAGATATGGAACCTATTGATTTAAATGAACATCCTTTGTTCAAAATGGGACCTATGGTTGAAGTATTCAGCTACTTCGGATACCTCCATGAAGCCATCCATCTTGGCCTCCTCCTCAACAGACAAACCAGTAAGTTGCTCCATCAAGCATAGACTGCAACACTGCCAAGTGGATCAACGGCCTTGCCCAGAAATGCTCCAAAGTCACCATCTATCTCAGACCTGTAAGCTATCAACTGTATCATACCTTAGGGTGACTCAGCCAGACTCACAGGCTTGAAAGACCATGTCCGAGACCTTGCGTTCTACCAGCTCGACGTCGAACTTAGATACAGAGCTGAAGCCTCTGCTTTTGCCGAAGTCTGAGAAGCTGTTCTGGACTCCATTGAGAAGCCCAAACAAGCCGACCCAGACGACATCGTTACAGGTACATTCTGACAATGTGTAGGCCTCCGTCCGAAGTGATGTTTGAACATTTCAAGGATCCACTGAGCCACTTTGAAAGCAGATCAGAAACTCGTCGGGTGATTGCAAGCACTGTGACCCCAAATATTTGAAGACCAACACACAGTTGTGAGGCTGCCCATTGTGGTCGACATTACACATGCTGGAGCCGACGAAGTTGACGACATGCTGAGCACAATGACTGAGCACTCGCTGAAATATCACTTTGACTTCAACGTGTTGTACTTGAAGTCTGACGAATGCATCGACATGCACACACTCAGTCAGCAGCCAAGCATCACAGGTACGATTCTAGCTCATTGTATAGACCACGTGGCTTGCTTAGACTTGATGGCGCTGCCTAAGTCTGACTCGTTCGTCAGTGTGATGGCCAGCTCGAAGCCTGACTTCGGAGCACTCACATTGCTCAGTGTGCAGCACGACTTCGACATGCTTGGACTGCTCATTGGCGATCTTATCACAATATCGGATAGTGTTGGAGCCGAGTGGTGTCCTCGGCTCAGGAGTATCGTTGCCATGAACTCGCAGCACAACTTTGTGACTCAGTGAGATCAGCAGCACAAACTGTATTCGACAGCTGGGCGCCATGCAGGCACCATATTCACTGGGGACCCTACCGACTCGTTCGAGTTCACTGTGGCACACTCTCTGGCATTGTGTGTTGATGGCAAGCACTTCAGCGTGAGTCTGGGGCCAGAAGCCAGGGTTGCAGGCACCCAATTACTTGGACTTACCAGTCAGTTTGTGTTTGTGAAAGCTGACGGCATGTTTGAGTACACCAGAGGCTCATCGATTTGAGAAGTTGAAGGGCCTGCAGGTTCGATTGAGAGTGAATGAGACTACATTCAGATACCGCTTATGAACTTATGAGAGACAGTGTTTAAGAACAACTCAGGAGAGAACACCAATCTAGAAGTGTATGCTACTCTGCTATTAAAGCTTAATGAAGTTAACCCAGCTTGTTATAACAGTCTGAGCTTAGAGAGATTCATGCCACAAAAATTATTCAGTCAGCTTATGAATTTGCAATGCATTACTGGCTATTATTGTAATCAGGATTTTGCCAATAGTGTAGCTCCAGATAATACAAAATATATCAGAAAAATAACAGCAGACATGTCTCTTGACTCATTAGCTGACTTCTCCAAACTAATCAATGGTGCTAAGATATTTGAAGGTAATGCAGCTTGTGCTCTTTTCTTCTTATTTTTATATTTTCTAGCGTGATATTACCTAAACCTATCAATTGTGCTTATTTCCAAACTGCAAAATTGTTGTGTGAATATCTGAAAATGTCATAAATCCACGCAGCTTAGTAATGCAGCAATCATCCAAAATTATATATTCCTAAGAGTTTCATTTACTATGCTTAATCGATTCATTAAGCTAGTACTACGAGTGAATAATCGATGTATTGTCTGCTTGCCAGATATTTCCTTTATTTCGAAGGAATGAGCTTCTTGGCTCACCAACTGATTATGACATCCTAAATTTAGTTGATCTTTTCCTATTTATTTCCTTCTTTATTTTCCATCAAATCTCCAAATTAAATAAGTGCTTAATTTTTGGAATTTATCAATTAATATAGTCTTCGATGGAGCATTCCGATTGGAAAAGGTAAAACTTTGGAAATTGAGCTCAGAAGTTCTGAAAATCCCTCCCATACAATTCCAACAATATTACAATCATGAATAAAAGCTTCACTAATTTTATTTAGCAGAACCCAGATGACGAAACCGAGCTGCTTAGCCTGTTTAGCCGAGCCACTAAGTCTCCTCCAAAATCCTCCTTCCACTCAATGTTTTCATATGTCATGCCTAAGATCTTGGGACCTCCAGAATCCACCGACTCAAGCCTCAGAGTACGCTTCCTCTCACCATTACAGTACATAAACCTCTTCACTTGGGCGAGGCGTACAAGACGAGGTATGACTCCATGACCCTTCATAGACTTAAAAAAACTGAAATCCAAAATCTACGAAGTCCAGGACTCGAACAAGGCGCTGACCTACTTCAGCTTTACCTTTTTCCTCCCTAAGTTCTGCAGCAAAGACCCTGAAAGAATTGTGGATCCTCCCGAATGGTACCAGCGAAGAGAAATAAGTCTCTAAGAATTTCAAGTTGGGCTGACTCTGAGGGGTTTTGGGGTTTTGGGGTTTTGGGGTTTTGGGGTTTTGGGGTTTTGGGG